CAAGACTCGACGTTGACGTCGGAAGGGTTGCGTAGGCGTTACTTATTATAGTAAAAATATATCAGAAGAATGCACTATACTATATGAAGCAACAAACTATGTTCCTCCTATTTATTACGGGATTCTTAGTTCCTCATTACAAAAATACGATGAACATTTTTTTCTCTTGAGCGCTAGTTAATGGGGAATGATTTAGAGATTGATATTATATTTGTTGTTTTAATAAGAAGTGTGTTTCTCACCTACATCAGATTATTTGCAATATCATTGTAGTCTTAGTGGGTTTGTTTATTTGCAGGGAACTCTGATATTTGCGGATGGCGTGGTCACTCACGCGTTGTCACGTGATACAGTTTCAAATCTAAGGGCGTCTTACTCAGGGTCCGTGTAGCCTCTGGTCCGCTGAGTCAGGGCTGGTCCGATGGATCAGGCCCAAATCATGTCCCACACGAATCTTGCGGACCGGTCTGACAGACCAAAACAATCCCTGCAATTTTGCCTGGCGGACCCACACATTGGCTCTATCCAGAGCGGACCAAGACGGGGTTACGTGGTAACTAGTTACTGTACTTTCTTGGTCCACAAGCCGGCTCACAGCTAGTCCGTCCTGGTCTGCGGGCTGGGCCGCTTTGTCAAACTATATGTTTGTGATCTCTCTAGGCTATAGTGGGTTAGCCTACAAGGGGTACAACACTTTAGGGTTAGTACTTGTACCCAACCCATTCATAGTTCATCCATTCATGCACAGTTGATTCTGACTGTCAGAATACTGAACGAGAAATGAATGCATTGAACAGAAAGTTGGTACTGTCAGAATACTGAACGAGAATGGATACATAGAACAGAAAGTTGGTACAAGTACTAACCCTAATTGGGTTGTTCCCCTTATGGGCTACCCCACTATAGCCTACACAATATAAGCATTATAACATTTTGACACACCCCCATCGGCAAATTGGGGGAGAACAAGTGGTCACAAGACCAGTCAAGAAAAGCAAAGCAAGCTCAGGGTGGATCACAAAGTCACCACACAGTCCGAGCACAAGCAAAGGGCCACAAGGCCAGTTCGCATGCAAAGGTATATAAAAAGAACAAACAAAACAGTGATCATACCCTAGCAAGTGTAAGCATGCAGGTATATATATAGATCACAGTACAAGCAAAGTCACGCAGTAAGCAAGTGAGGCAAAGTAGGCACAAGGCCTAACACAGTAGAGAAGCGCTGATGATCACCAGAGTGAAGTGCCTTGGTGAATATATCAGTAGTGTTGGCCCTAGTGGCCACGTAAGCAAGACGAAGCTGGCCACGCTGCTGCAACTCTCGAGCAAGGAAGTAACGCAGAGCGATATGATTCGTTATGTGCTCCAGTCTGTGCTCCTGACACAAGGCAATCATGGCCTTGTTGTCTACGTACAGAACTGGAGAAGAACGAGGCTGCTCTCCCAAGTCGGTCAGCAGGTAGGTGAGCCAGCGTAACTCCTGTGCAGCCATGACCCCTGCGTAGATCTCAGCCTCACAACTGGAACTGAGAATAGAAGACGAGCGGGTAGACCGCCAAGAAACAGAGCCGGAGCCAAGGCTGAAAGTGTAACCCTGTGACGACCGCTGCGTAGCTAAGTCATCAACCCAAGAAGAGTCTGCGTGTCCAGTGAGGACAACTGGGCCCCGTCCTCCAAGCACGAGCCCCATGTCAAACATATATGCTATAGTCTATCTAGGCTGTAGTGTCAAAGATTAATCATATAGCCTGTCTAGGCTGTAGTGGGGTAGACACTATGGGGTACAGTTTCCTAGGGTTTCATATTTGTACCCAACTCATTTCCTAGTCAATCATTCATTTCCTGTTTCTTCACATGGTATAGAGCGGGTTCCCGAGTGGGACCGTTCCTTCCTAAGGGCCCACCTTAATTTTTTTTTTTCCTACCTGCCCGAAGCGCGCTTCGCGCTCTGCCCTAATCTTTCGCGGCCCCTTAGCGGCCTGTACTGCCCTTTGCGGCCCCCTAGGCGGCCCCCTACCCGGCCCCTACGCGGCCCCTTCGTCGCCTATCGCGACCCCGTCGCGGCCCCGCCCTGGCCCTGCCCCGTCGCCCGACGCCGCCCCGTCGCGGCCCTGTCGCGGCGCTGCCCCGGCCCTGCCCCGTCGCCCGTTGCGGCCTCGTCGCAGCCCCGCCCCGGTCCTGCCCCGGCCCTGCCTCACCGCCCCGTCGCGGTCCTGTCGCGGCCCTGTCTCGGACCTGTCGCGGACCTACCCCGGCCCTGTCGCGGCCCTGTCGCGGCCCTGCCCCGGCCCTACCCCGGACCTGTCGCGGACCTACCCCGGCCCTGTCGCGGCCCTGTCGCGGCCCTGCCCCGGCCCTACCCCGGCCCTGTCGCGGCCCTGCCCCGGCCCTGTCCCGGACCTGCCCCGGCCCTGCCCCGGCCCTGCCCCGGCCCTGTCGCGGCCCTGCCCCGGCCCTGCTCTGGACCTGCCCCGGCCCTGCCCCGGCCCTGCCCCGGCCCTGTCGCGGCCCTGCCCCGGCCCTGCCCCGGACCTGCCCCGGCCCTGCCCCGGCCCAGTCGCGGCCCTGCCCCGGCCCTGTCCCGGACCTGCCCCGGCCCTGCCCCGGCCCTGCCCCACCAGTCGCGGCCACCTACCCAATCGCCCCTGGTAAGAGCACCGCCGAGTCGCCCCGCTCTGCCGAGCCGCGCTGCCCTGCCCAGCCGCACCGCTTAGCCGAGTTGCACTGCTGCTGCTGCTGCTGCTGCTGCTGCTGCTAGCCTACTGCTGCTGCTGTCATGGCTAGTCCCACTGTGCTGAGGGTCGAGCGGTCGACTTTGAGGTCTGGATAGATGATCTGCAGCTTTTCCTACAGTGCGATAGCAAGGATGGTCTCTCACTGTTCGATCTCACGTCTGGCGCCTCTACTGCCCCTGCTGCTGATGCTGACAGTACTGTTTGCTCACAGTGGACCACGCGCGATGCTGCTGCCTGCCTTGCTGTACGTAGTCACCTACCGTCTACTGAGCGCGCGCACTTTAGTCAGTACAAGAGTGCTAAGACTCTGTATGACGCTGTAGTTGCACGCTACTCTTCCCCTGCTACTGCTGCCCTTAGCCGCATCATGCTGCCTTACCTGTTCCCTGACCTCGCCGCTTCTGCCACAGTCACTGACCTCATTACGCACCTCCGCACCAGTGACACCCGCTACCGCGCTGTGCTTCCTGCTGAGTTCTGCGCCAAGAACCCCCCCCCCCATGTATATCACCCTCTACTACCTAGTCACTCGACTCCCTGACACCCTTCGCTCGGTCAGGGACCACTTCCTCTCTCTTTGCCCCACCACTCTCACCGTTGACCTCCTCGAGGAGCGCCTCCTTGCAGCGGAGACTAGTATTACAGCTGTAGGAGCCTCTCGTGGTGACCCCCGTACCCCTTTCTTTGAGGGGTGCTCCCCCGTTCCCCTTTTGCCCTCCGTTGCCTTTGCTGCTGCTGTCGACCTTGTTGGCACCGGGTCGGTCAGTGCTGCGTCTGCTCCTAGCGGGAGACGCCGCAACGGCAAGGGCAAGGGGAGCAAGGGTGCTAGAGGAGGTGGCGGGGGAGGCGGTAGTGGCGGTGGAGGCGGAGGAGGGGGTGGGGGTGGGGGTGGTGGCAGAGGTGGGGGCGTCGGTGGCAGCGGTGGAGGTGGAGGTGGCAGTGGCGGTGGCGGTTGGGGTGGAGGCGGAGGAGGCGGCGACGGCGGTGGAGGTGGAGCAGGTCGAGGCGGAGTTGTGCAGCGGGGACCCTAGCACCAGCCACGCTCTCGTGAGACCCCGTTGCCCTAGCAGCTTCGTGAGTGGTACGCGGGACGCCAGGGGTCTGGGGGTGCTGGTCCCTGTACCTACGTCCTGCGCACCGGCGACCGCACTGGAGAGATGTGTGGCGGCCTGCACGCGACCCAGCGCTGCTTCGGCCACCTGACAGACGCCTGGCGTACCTAGTTCCCTGACGCCACTGAGATCCCTCGCTGGGGTGATCTGCTCAGGTCGGGTGTAGCTATCTTTGATCTTGATTTTGATGCTATCCTTGCTGCCATGTATGCTGTGTCAATTAGTGTTGAGGGTGACTGTTACGTGTGTGTTCCGCCAGACCCGGCCATTGAGGCTGCTGCTCTAGGTGCTAGTGAGTCTGCTGCTCCAGGTGCTGGTGAGTCTGCTCTCTCAGGTACCACGTCGGCTCAGGTTTTGCACACCTTCACCCTCGACTCGGGAGCTTCCCGCTCCTTCTTTCGAGACCGCACCACACTCACGCCGCTCTGTCGGCCGGTTGCAGTCTCCCTGGCAGACCCCTCTGGAGGTCCTGTCCTTGCCCACTACTCCACTGTCCTACCGTGTCCGGCGGCCCCGTCAGGCTCCTTGTCCGGTCTCTACCTCCCCTCGTTCTCTACGAACTTGGTGAGTGGTGCTGACCTTCAGGATGGAGGAGTTGACCAGTTCACTCCTGCGGGTCAGCGAGTGACCCACTGCACGTGTACTCAGACGGGCCGCCACTTGGCCACGTTTACCCGTCGGCCGGGGTCGAGCCTGTACACACTGACCACAGAGTCTCCTCCAGTTGCTGCGTCTGGTCAGGTAGCTGCGTCGAGTCAGGTGTTTGCTGCAGAGTCTCGGTCAGGTCCTGAGTCTACCCCCTGCTCGTGTCGCCTCCTGTCCCACCAGACCCTCCTCTGGCACCACCGCCTTGGTCACCCCTCCTTGCCTCATCTCCGAGGCATGGCCTCCCGTGTCCTTGTCTCTGGTCTCCCCCGGTCCCTCCCTCCCCTTCCTCCGGGGCCTGCCCCTACCTGCGTTCCCTGCGTTGAGGGGCAGCAGCTTGCCGCCCCTCACTCCTCCGAGTTTCCTCCGACAGAGGCTCCGCTGCAGACTCTCCACATGGACGTGTGGGGCCCAGCCCGCGTCCGTGGACAGGGTCACGAGCGTTACTTCCTGCTGGTGGTTGACGACTTCTCGTGTTACACCTCAGTCTTCCCCTTGCGCCGCAAGGATGAGGTCACTGAGGTGTTGATCGACTGGATCCGCGCTGCTCGTCTCCAGCTCAGAGAGCGTTTCGGCTCGGACTTTCCTGTTCTATGTCTGCACTCCGACAGAGGTGGAGAGTTTTCCTCCGACCTTCTGCGAGCCTTCTATCGTGTGGAGGGCATCCGCCAGACGTTCACGCTTCCGGCCTCTCCACAGCAAAATGGGATTGCTGAACGCCGCATTGGCATGGTCATGGACGTCGCTCGTACGTCCATGATCCATGCGGCTGCTCCCCATTTTCTGTGGCCGTTCGCGGTTCAGTACGCGGCGCATTAGATCAACCTTCAGCCCCGGGTCTCCATGCCGGAGACCTCCCCTACTCTGCGGTGGACGGGGAAGGTTGGTGATGCGTCTGCGTTCCGTGTCTGGGGATCTCGAGCTTTCGTCCGTGACTTGTCTGCGGACAAGCTGTCCTCCCGTGCTGTTCCTTGCGTCTTCCTCGGCTCCCCCCCTGACGCGCCTGGTTGGCAGTTTTACCACCCCACCTCGGGCCGTGTTCTGTCCTCCCAGGACGTCACGTTTGACGAGTCGGTTCCGTACTACCGTCTTTTCCCCTACCGCGTTGCCCCCCTCCCCCCCCCGCCACTCTTCCTCACGCTCGGTCCCCCCCCGGTAGACCCCCTCCCCCCTCAGGGTCCTGCCCCCTCAGGTGTGTCCCAGGTAGACGCAGTCGAGCCTGTCGAGGTAGCTGTTGACTCTGGTGCTTCTAGGGGTGCTGAGCCTGCGGGTGCCAGGTCTGGGGGTGCTGAGCCTGAGCGTGCGGAGCCTGGGGGTGCTGGGCCTGGGGGTGCTGAGCCTGAGTGTGCGGAGCCTGGGGGTGCTGGGTCTGGGGGTGCTGAGCCTGGGGGTGCTGGGTCTGGGGGTGCTGGGTCTGGGGGTGCTAGGTCTGGGGGTGCTGAGCCTGGGGTTGCTGAGTGTGGGGGTGCGGAGCCTGACGGTGCTGGACCTGGAGGTCCTTCGGGTGCTCTGTCCCGGCGGGAGCTACCCTCTCCACAGGAGCTGCGCGAGTGGTTTGCTCGGCGCTGGAGCCATGCTGCTGTAGCTGGTGGTGCTGCTGGTGCTGGAGTTTCTACTGCTGCTGGGGGTGCTGGAGCCACGGGTCCCGGAGGTGCTCGTACTGGAGGTACTGGAGCTGCTGGGCCTGGTGGAGCTACTGGTGCTGGGGCTACTGGCGGAGCTGGAGTTGGTCGTGCTGCTGGAGTAGGTGCTACTGGAGGTACTGGAGCCGGAGCTACTTCGTCTTTCGGTGGTACTGCTGGAGCTGGAGCTGCTGGAGGTCCTGGAGCTGGAGGTGCTGCTGGAGCCGGTGCTCCTGTGGGTGCTGGAGTTGACGCTGCTGGAGCTGCTGGAGGTGCTGCTGGTGCTGGTGGTACTGCTGGAGTTGGCGCTGACGCTGGGGGTGCTGGTGCTGTACCTGCTGGTTCTGGAGGCGCTGCATGGCCGCGGCCGTCCTTCGTTCCGCTCCTTGAGCAGGTTCTTGGTCTTCCACCTTCTTCTGGTCCTACTCCCTCCTTAGAGTGTCCACCGCCTGTCCAGTCCGAGTCACAGTTACAGCTGGCCTCCCCTCTGCCTGCTCCTTCTCCCTACGCTGGTCCTACTGGAGGTCTTGCTGAGCGTCGTGAGCCTGAGTCGCGTCGTGCGTCACCTGTTCATGCTGCTCGCACTAGTCGTCGTGTTCCACGTCAGCGTCCTCCTGCGGTCCGGGGCACGCATCAGATGGCACTGCGTCCTTCCACTGTGCCGCAGCGTGTCCCTTTGCCGTCTCCTCCAGAGTCCTCTCTTCCTGCTCTTGCTGACCCGGAGTCTGACTCTCTTCGTGCTGCCAGTCCTACTGTCACGCGTCTCCTGGCCACTGTTGTCACTGACCCTTCCTTTGAGTCCACTGCTGCGTCTGCCTTAGTTGCCGAGCTTGTCGACTTCGCTGCTCACTGTCGTCTAGACTACGCCGCTAGTCTTGTTGCTGAGTCTGAGTCTGTCTGTCCTCCGTCTGTCGGGGGTGAGTGTGCTCTTAGCACGGACGTCCTTGAGGACAGGCAGGAGGAGTTCCAGTGTTTTGCTGCTGCTTTACCTCATCTCGTGTCCATGCTGCTTGCCCCTGAGGGAGACCCGGATGCACCAGACATCCCGACCCCGCGCTCTTACGCAGAGGCGATAGAGGGTCCCTACTCCTCTCAGTGGCTGTCAGCCATGGACGCAGAGATGGCTTCCTGGAAGTCCACAGGCACCTACGTCGACGAGGTTCCCCCACCTGGGGCGAACATCGTCAGTGGCATGTGGATTTTCAGGGTGAAGCGGCCGCCCGGTTCTCCGCCTGTCTTCAAGGCGCGTTACGTGGCTCGAGGCTTCAGTCAGCGGCAGGGAGTTGACTACATTCAGACCTTCTCCCCGACCCCGAAGATGACCACTCTTCGGGTTCTGCTGCACGTCGCTGCTCAGCGTGACTACGAGCTTCACTCTCTTGACTTCAGCACTGCTTTCCTACAGGGCAGCCTGCACGAGGAGATCTGGCTGCGCCGCCCACCTGGCTTCACTGGGTCGTTTCCTCCTGGTACCCAGTGGAGCCTCCGGCGGCCAGTCTACGGTCTCCGCCAGGCGCCCCGTGAGTGGCACGACACACTGAGGACTACGCTTTCGGCTCTTGGGTTTGCTCCTTCTACTGCTGACCCGTCGCTGTTTCTTCGCACCGACACTTTGCTGCCGCCGTTCTACATCCTCGTGTACGTCGACGACTTGGTGTTTGCTACGGCTGACACTGCTGGACTCGCCCACGTGAAGTCCGAGCTGCAGAAGAGACACACGTGCACATACCTGGGTGAACTGCGCAGCTATCTTGGCTTGCAGATCACCCGGGACAGAGCACGGCGCACCATTACCCTGACTCAGTCACACATGGTGCAGCAGGTCCTTCAGCGCTTCGATTTCACGTACTCCTCGCCTCAGGCCACTCCTCTGTCTACTCGCCACTCGCTCTCAGCTCTGCCTTCGGATGAGTCCGTAGAGCCGAGTGGCCCGTACCCAGAGCTTGTTGGCTGCCTCATGTACCTGATGACCTGCACTCGACCTGACCTGGCATACCCTCTTAGCATCTTGGCACGCTATGTTGCTCCTGGCAGACACGGACCAGAGCACATGGCTGCCGCGAAGAGGGTGTTGCGTTACTTGTGCAGTACGTCGGGCATGGGGCTCGTGCTTGGAGGGCGCAGTCCAGTGGTACTCACTGGTCACACAGACGCGTCTTGGGTTGACGACCTGGCTACTAAGCGATCGTCACAGGGTTACACCTGTACGTAGACAACAAGGCCATGCTGGCCTTGTGTCGGGAGCACAGACTGGAGCACAGAACGAAGCACATTGCTCTTCGCTACTTCCTTGTGTCAAACTTATATCTGCTATAGTCTATTTAGGCTGTAGTGGGGTAGTTCTTAGAGGGTACAACACTTATGTGTTTCCCACTTGTACCCATCTCATTTCTAGTTCATTCATTCTTTCGTCAATTATCTCACATGGTATAGAGCTAGTTTCGAGTTTTTTTTTTAAAGGGCCCACCACTGAAATTTTTCTTACCTTCTCGACGCGCGCGTCGCGCCTACCCTTCGAGGCCCGTAGCGGCCCCTGCGCCTGCCCTTAGAGCCAGCGCCGGCCCCGTAAGGCCCCCTTTTCCGGCCCCGTTTCCGGCCCTGTAAGGCCCCGTAAGGCCCTGTTTAAGGCCCCGTAAGGCCCCGTAAGGCCCGGTCAGGCCCCGTAAGGCCCCGTAAGGCCCCGGTTACGGCCCCGTTTAAGGCCCCGTAAGACCCCGTAAGGCCCCGTAAGGCCCCGTAAGACCCCGTAAGGCCCCGTTTACAGCCCCGTTTAAGGCCCCGTAAGGCCCCGTAAGGCCCTGTTAGGCCCCGTAAGGCCCCGTTTACGGCCCCGTTTAAGGCCCCGTAAGGCCTCGTAAGGCCCCGTCAGGCCCCGTTTAAGGCCCCGCAAGGCCCCGTAAGGCCCCGTCAGGCCCCGTTTCAGGCCCCGTTAGGCCCCCTAAGGCCCCGTAAGGCCCCGTACGGCCCGGTAAGGCCCCGTCAGGCCCCGTTAGAGGCCCTGTACGGCCCCGTCAGGCCCCGTTAGCGGCCCCGTCAGGCCCCGTCAGGCCCCGTCAGGCCCCGTAAGGCCCCGTCAGGCCCTGCCCCGGCCCTACCCCAACCTGTCGCGGCCCTGCGCCGGCCCTGCTGCGGCCTTGTCGCAGCTCTGTCTCGGCCCTGCGCCGGCCCTGCTCCTGCACTGCCGCGGCCTGGCCCCGGCCCTGCCCCGGACCTGTCGCGGCCTCGCCCCGGCCCTGTCCCGGCCCTGCTCCGACCCTGCCCCGGCCCTGCCCCGGTCCTGCCCCCTGCCCCGGCCCTGCTCCGACCCTGCCCCGGCCCTGCCCCGGCCCTGCCCCGGCACTGCCACGGCCCTGCCCCCTGCCCCGGCCCTGCTCCGGCCCTGCCCAGGCCCTGCCCCGGCACTGCCCCGGCCCTGCCCCCTGCCCCGGCCCTGCTCCGACCCTGCCCCGGCCCTGCCCCGGCTCTGCCCCGGCCCTGCCCCGACCCTGCCCCGGCTCTGCCCCGGCCCTGCCCCGGCCCTGCCCCGGCCCTGTCCCGGCCCTGCTCCGACCCTGCCCCGGCCCTGCCCCGGCTCTGCCCCGGCCCTGCCCCGGCCCTGCCCCTGCCCTGCTCCTGAACTGTCGCGGCCCTGCCCCAACCCGGCCCCGGATCTTTTGCGGCCCGGCCCCGGCCCTACCCCGGCCCTGCCCCAGCCACGCCCCTGGTAAGAGCGCCGCGCTGCCGAGCCACGCCGCCCTGCCGAGCCGCGCCGCCCTGCCGAGCCGCGCCGCCCTGCCTAGCCTGCTTAGCCGAGTTGCACTGCTGCTGCTGCTAGCCTGCTGCTTCTCCTGTCATGGCTAGTCTCAATGTTCTTACCTTTGATGCTGAGGGTCGAGCTGTTGACTTTGAGGTCTGGCTAGATGATCTGCAGCTTTTCCTACAGTGCGATAGCAAGAATGGTCTCTCACTGTTCGATCTCACGTCTGGCGCCTCTACTGCCCCTGCTGCTGATGCTGACAGTACTGTTCGCTCGGAATGGCTCACGCGCGATGCTGCTACTCGTCTTGCTGTGCGTAATCACCTGCCGTCTACTGAGCGCGCGCACTTTAGTCAGTACAAGAGTGCTAGGGCTCTGTACGACGCTGTAGTTGCACGCTACTCCTCCCCTACCACTGCTGCCCTCAGCCGCCTCATGCTGCCGTACCTTTTTCCTGACCTTGCCGCCTTTGCCACAGTTGCTGACCTAGTTGCTCACCTCCGCACTAGTGACGCTCGCTACCGCGCTGCCCTTCCCACTGAGTTTCTTCCCACGAACTCCCCCCCCATGTACATCACCCTTTACTACCTAGTCACCCGCCTCCTGACTCTCTCTCCTCAGTCAGGGATCACTTTCTCTCCCTTTGCCCCACCGAGCTGACTGTCGACTTGCTAGAGGAGCGCCTTGCTGCAGCTGAGAAGAGTATCTTAGCTGTCGGTGCTTCTCGCGGCGACCGTCGCACCCCCTTCTTTGAGGGGTGTTCCCTTCTCCCCCTTCTCCCCTCTGTTGCCTCTGCTGCTGCTGTTGACCTCGTTGGCACTGAGGAGGTTGGCGCTGCGTCTGCCCCTAGTGGGCGACGCCGCACTGGCAAGTGCAAGGGAAGCAGGGGTGGTGGAGGGGGCGGTGGAGGGGGCGGTGGAGGAAGCGGTGGAGGAGGTGGAGGAGGTGGAGGTGGTGGTGGGGCTGGTACCGGGAGTGGGGGCGTCGGTGGCGGGAGTGGAGGCCGTGGAGGCGGTGGCGGAGGAGGTGGAGGCGGCGGCAGCGATGGTGGAGGTAGCGGAGGAGGTGGTGCTGGTCGCGGTGCAGCCACGCAGCATGGAGGCCTTGGTGGCAGCCAGCGTCAGCAGCAGCTGCGCACCCGTGAGACCCCGTCTGTTCAGCAGCTTCGTGAGTGGTACGCTGGGCGTGGGAGGTCTGGGGGAGCAGGTCCCTGCACGTACGTTCTTCGCACAGGCACTCGTAGTGGGGAGGTGTGTGGTCTTCCACACACCACGCAGCGCTGCTTCGGCCGCTTGACTGACGCTTGGCGTACCCAGTTTCCTGACGCTGTTGAGCTTCCTCGTTGGCTTCTGCAGAATGTGCCTATCTTTGACCTAGACTTTGATGCTATCCTTGCTGCCATGTATGCTCTTGCTGATATTACTGAGGGTGACTGTTACCTGCGTGTCCCGCCCGACCCGGGCACTATGGCTGCTGCTCTAGGTGCTAGTGCGGCTGCTGCTCTAGGTGCTAGTGCGTCTGCTGCTCCAGGTGCTGGTACGTCTCCTCTCTCAGGTACTGCACCTACTGAGTCCTTTCACACTTTCACACTTGACTCTGGTGCTTCGCGCTCTTTCTTTAGAGACAGCACCACGCTCACGCCGCTCAGTCGGCCTGTTGCGGTCTCCCTCGCTGACCCCTCAGGGGGCCCAGTACTTGCACACTCCTCCACTGTCCTACCGTGTCCTGCGGCCCCGTCGGGCTTGCTGTCGGGACTCCACCTCCCCTCGTTCTCTACAAACCTGGTGAGTGGAGCTGACCTCCAGGACGCGTGGGTTGACCAGTTCACCCCTGGAGGTCAGCGTGTGACCCACTGCACTTGCTCGCGGACGGGCCGTCACCTGGCCACGTTCACCCGTCGGCCAGGGTCGAGTCTGTACACACTGACTACTGCGCCTCCTCCGGTCTCTGCGTCTGGTCAGGTAGCTGCGTCCAGTCAGGTGTTTGCTGCCGCGTCCAGGTCTAGTCCTGCGTCTGCCCCCTGCTCGTGTCGTCCTTTGGCACACGAGACTCTCCTTTGGCACCACCGCCTTGGTCACCCCTCCCTGCCTCGTCTTCGAGGTATGGCCTCCCGTGCCCTTGTCTCGGGTCTACCCAGGTCCCTCCCTCCCCTTCCTCCGGGGCCTGCCCCCACCTGTGTTCCTTGTGTCGAGGGCCGGCAGCGCGCCGCCCC